CTATATACAGCTTTGCTGAAGAACTAATAACATAAAAAAAAAAAAAAAAAAAAAAAAAAAAAAAAAAAAACAGGGGACTCCCCCGGCCAGGAATGAGTCTTTCTCTCGAAGGATGCACAGCCGGAAAGAGGAGAGAGTAATCAAGAAATTGTTTAGGAACAGAATAAAATCAATAATGCTCACATGGCACCCAAGACCAAGAGGGGTATCTAAACTAGTGCTGACACGAGCATTTAGTGTATAAAGCTTAGCCCTATATAGTACTGTATGTAGCTTGCTAATGCACATACCACCACCCCAAGAAAAAAATGATCCAACTCTGTCCAGTGCGCCACCCGTCGGATGCCCGTCAGCAAAGTTAACTGAATCTAAACTCTTCCGCGCTGTATCAGACTAGTTACTAGTTACTCCGTACTACGGAAGCAAACCGGACTATTCCTGCTTTTAATCAGTGCTACTCATATCAGGCTATCAGTAATCATTCATCCAGACCACCTCCACAACCGCCAACGCGCTCCCCTCCACCCGCTGGACCCCAACCCACTGGAATTGCTCATCCGCCTCCTGCAGCAACCCGTGCCACTGCGCCTCGTCCCTCTCGCGCGTATTGAGCAACTGCAGTATATTCACGTCCATGTTACTAGTGAGTCTACGCTTCCACATAGGCTCCTGGGCAGGGTATGGCTCAAGAATGTGGTCATGGATAAGCACGCGCACCCCGGGACACAGTGCCGGGCGCAGCTGCCGTAATATCTGTACTGATGGCGGTCGCCCCAGTTATGAAGGATGTGATGAAGGTAGTAGATGCGCGTGCTGGGGTTAGTGGGTTGAGGGGTGAAAAAGTTGTGCGCTTGGAAGTCTATCCTTCTTGTTGCTGAGGAGGGATGCATTATTTGCTGCTCTTTCATGTGAGTAATCATGCCCGGCAGATCCTGTACTATGAATCTCAGGTGTGGGAATGCGGCTACCAGCGCGAAACTGATGTCGCCCTGCGCGCCGCTGATGTTGACAACTACGCTGTCTGCCGGGAGTGTGGAAAGGAGCGGCTGGATGGATGTGACCAGCGGTGTTATGCCCATGGCAGTCCCTGAGATGTAGCCGCGCTTGCTGGCCGCGAAGGTGGTGGTGCGGGTGGGTGACTGTGAGAGGATGTTGTAGAGCGCCAGGCCATTGTTGGCTAGGGCGAAGCCCTGTGCTGTTATTAGTATTTGGTGTATCTTGGAATATTCTGCTGCATGGTGCTTTGTTTGGGGAGGTAAAAGCAAGTTGGTAAAGGAATTCTCCTCCAGTGCACATTTGAAGTTTGATGCTTGGGGGGAAGGGGTAACTAACTGACTTATTTGGCTTCTCGGAGCCAGGAAAGCGCTTTAATGCTTTAATAGTCTATGCAAAACATACTCCTGTTAGCTGAGATGACCAGCTGTGCTAGGCTAGGGGAAGCTACTATATACTTTTGTCGCGCCGGGCCAGTTATTTGTGCAGGTCAACCTAATCCAGTCATGAAAATCTTCCTGGCGCAGGAGTATGCTGGCACGTGTGTGAGTGACTTCATTCTTGGCAGGCTTGTTGAAAACGCGGATGGTCATGGCGTGATGGATGAGGCGCCGGACGTCGGCTTCGGGGACATTGTATTGTGTGGATAGAGCTGCAAATGAGATTGTTCTATTGGGAGGGACGAGGTGCGTGATATTGAATTCTTGGATGAAGTGCAGGGTGATGAGGTGGGTGTGCTTTATCCTATTGATATTAGTCGTGGTTATAAGTCAGGAGTGAAGAACTGAGGCGGCGTATACTGGTATAGGAGTGTAGAAGATCGGCTGGGTCCAGCAGCAGGTCCTGGATCTTGCACGCGGTGTGCAGGAGAGCGTTGCGTGCGGCCTCGACGGGCGGGGGCAGTGCCAGGGATGGAGGGCAGGTGGCCGAAAATGAGGGCTCCTTAATTCCGTGCTGCGCTAGCATAGTCTGTAATTGTTGGGCTGAGTCGGTGATAGTGGTGGCCAGGGATTCGATGCGCGAAGACATGTTGACGGGGAAATTAGTGTCAGACGGATTGTGCATCTGAGACCTTGGTTGCTGGGGGTTTTTTTTTTTTTTTTCTTTCTCTTTTCTCTACAGGGATGGTGAATGGAAAATACCAGATTGCCTGACTAACAGTATATAGAATTATAGATATGTGCTGTAATATGACTAGTACTTGATATTTGTATTACTATAATTTGGCTCCTACTAATAGAATTAGTGCCTGCAGCTTATATTTAGTAGGTTTTAGAGTTGAGTTTTCGCTGCGTGTGTGTGCTGTTCTTCTGAGAATTGATGTTGCTTACTGTACATGCTGAGTATATATAAAGTATGTGATGTGGCAGTTTGCTCTCCAATTCCCCAGTGCTATTATTGTCTTTGAGAAATAAGTATCTAGATTAGACAGAGGCTATTACTGTACCGATCAAGGCCAGCGCACCGGCCAGATAACTCCCTGTGGGCATCTTGTGGCCCGCCCCACTTGATGTCTTGCTAGTGGCAGCGCTAGTGCTGGTGTTGGTGCCTGAGCTTGTGGTTGTTCTGGAACCGGATGTGCTTGAGCTGTTACTGGTATCATTGCTCGCCGCTGTGATGTGAAAGTAGTTGGCCGTGACTGGTGAGCCTAGTCCAGTCTGGTTGAGGAAGCTGACCAGTGGCAGGTTTAGCTGATTCAGGGGCGTGTCATTGTTGGTCAGCATGAAGGATTTGTAGTGGCTGGGGATGCTGAAGTTGGAGGGCTGGTCGAAGAGTAAAAGGGTGTAGTTATGGGTGCCGGACTTGGGGGCCGGGGCAATGTAGGAAGCCAGCATGTTCTTGTTGCTAGTGCTGTTGATGGTGGTGGTCAGGTTGGCCACCATGGTGTGTATGATCACCGAGGGGGGGGGGGGGTGGTTTTATTCCAGTCCGGGTCGACCATGAGCAGTAGATAGGGTCCAGAGCTGCTGAGCCCTATGTCATGGAGATGCAGCTCCGGCGCGTTCTTGGTGTCTAGAGATGGTATTAGTTAATTAGACAGTCTGGAAAAGGGATCGGTCGTACATACCGCTCGCGTTCAGGAACTTGCCAGGGGTGAAGCTGACTGCAGTTGACCCTACCGCAAAGGTGACATTTAGCACCGTCGACGGCTCTCTAATGCTCGCCAGCTCAGGAGGGATGGTGTCTGCAGTCGCAGCAGTAGCAACTGCGGTGAAGGCGGCCATGGCAGAGACAAGACGCATGATGGGGATTTTATTGGAGCTGGATGTAGGCATGTTCATAATTGGATAGGAGGTGGATTAAATAGAGAAATCTTCTAACTGTGCACTGTTTGACACTTAGCCTAGAATAGATCAGTTACCGACGAGCAATGTGAGAATGGCTCCATCAGTCTTGGCCCTATTTAGGGGAGAAAATGGTGGCGTTTCCACATGGCCGGGGCGTTTAGCGCACATGGTTCGGGGATTACTTTTTCTTAACATCGCTGTTGGCTGCACCATGGCGCATGGAGATGAAGGGAATCTTTTGTTTTTTCTTGTTGTTGGAATTGCTTTATTTGTTTGTTCAGAGCTAAATTGCCTTGTTTGATTACTCTGGTTAATTTGGAAGTAGTGGAAATATGCTTGAGACTTTCAAGCAGTGGTGTAGGCGTTATCCCTGTCCCCAAATATGCAGCTTGCTGCGAGGGGTTGCCAAGAAAAAGCTGGCAGGGAATGGTGTTAATTCTCGCTGCGAGTATTGGATAATTTCCCCAGAGTTTTTTTATACTTTTGTTGCTCTTGATAAAAAGATGTGAATATATGCTATGGATGAGTATTTTAAAAGTCTAAGTTTTTGTTGAAGCTGGCACTCATGCGTAATATGTATAAGATCCTCTCTACCAACATATTCAAGATAATATCTATGAATTGCACATATCGGATTTCTGAAATGTCCTTGATTGAGATTTGTTCTTTGGGTTTTGAAAGATGGATCGACCCAAAAGGTCCTGATGGTCCTTTAAAAATAGTACTACTTCCAACAGGTGATCCTGGGCCTATTCCTGAAGGAATAATGCGTCTAGCATGAACCACAAGATTATGTGTTCTTTTCTTGTTGATGTTCGAAGCTCTAGTTGTATATGTTATAAAGGGGAATAGTAATACTGTGACAAGGGGAACTACAGTAAGCCTGATCAGGTCTTATATATCTTAGAAACTAACTATAAAACTGTTTGCTGGTGAGTAACTATAGCAGAAAGCCCTGGGCTGGAGCGAAAGGGTGTTAATGGTAAGTAACTAGTCTTAATCTATTGCTTTAAGGGGTATTGATACTCTTTTTTTTGTGCAGCTGTGGAAAGGCCTTGAGATACTGGTGATGAATCTACTACCCCAAATTGGGAACAGCTTTAGAGACGTCAATATTGAATGGATCTTTAGACAGTGTCATATATTCGGCCACGCCGCTCGCGTGGTGGGAGTTGTGGTTGGTCGGTTGGTGGCCAAGCCTGGATGCCAAGCCGGCTAGATCGCCGCGAAGGCGTGTGGTGCGCCGATTTGAGGCGTAAGAAGCCTTGAATATGAGGATATTCGTGTACGACGCGTAAAAACGATGAAAAACGACAGGGGATGCGAATTTTTGATGATTCGTGGCCACGGGGGCTCATAAGATGTGACAGCAATATGGATATATTGTGTGTGTGTGTGTGTGTGTGTGTGTGTGTGTGTGTGTGTGTGTTGACTAGCTAGCTAACTACGCGAGGAGGTGGCTAGGTGACTAGGTGACTATAGACCTCGCCAAAACGCGGGTTGGGTTGGGTTTTCATTTTCTGAACCCGCCCACGGGTTACCCAGGTTGGGTTTCGGGGGTCCCCAACCTGCCCATGGGTTCTTGGCGGGTACCCGCGGGTTACCCAAGCTACCCAAAGTTTGTATAATTTCAGCATAATTTTGATTAGTCATTGTATATATTTTTGGTAACGTTAATATAATAATATTATAGATTATGACTTTCCTGTCCTCAGTAGAAGTCCTGTTCAGATATATATAGTCATAGAGTGTTATTCCATAAATATTTGGTATAATTGACATGTATCCTAATTTCTGATAGATATAATACTTAGATAGTGTTACGGGACAGGTCCCTGCTAGAGGACTCGGCTACCTGGCCTTGTTACTGCCTGCTTATTAAACATAATATATAAAATCTTAAATATTCTAAGATCTTGTTTTGAATACTAGTTATTTCTTTTTATTTAATAAGTAATATATTCTTAGAACTAAGAAATAATCTTTAATATTAGAAATAACTTTTCTAAATATTAAAGAACCTGATCTGACCTAATAACCTGACCCAACGACCCGACCCAATCCAACACTAGTTAATATATATAGAGATAATGATTGACATGCTTTACCTTCTAATTTGCTGAGGCTTTAGTAGTTTATATACTGCTGAGATCTTGTTAGGTAGTATAATAATCTTCTTGTAATAGACCTCGAGATGCTCCTCGATTATGATGTCGAAGCAGACCATATTGGGTCAAACATTGACACGGACAACAACATTGCACTAAATGCCGCGTGTGCGAATGGACACCTTGATAGAGTTAAGATGTTTCTCGATCGTGGCATGAAAGTACATGATAGCATGCTTTGTAAGGCCGCTGAGAACGGCCATACCCAACTCATTCAACTGCTGCTAGAGAGAGGTGCTTGTGTCAATCCCCAAACCAAGCCCTGTCGACCAACAAACATGGAAGGGAACACACCCATTGATTATGTCTATTCAGACACTTCCCCCCTTAATCTTGCTGCCTTAAAGGGACACGAAACCGCTGTATCATGTCTGCTTGACAGCGGAGCTCACCTTCATATTCAACGCCCCTTACGTCCGACGGGGACGGACAGAAATTACGGTGTTACGATATTTGAGATGATTCCCTTGCAAGCCGCGTGTTACAATGGTCATGCACATATAGCCAAGAAGCTCTTTTTTCAAGATCCATGGGGCTACATTGAGCATCACACGTTCACGAGTGCGCTACAGATTAGCCTTGATCGCAGCTGGCATAAGGTCGCGAGCAATCTACTTTCGGAGGCAATCCATGCGGGGTATAGCGCTGAAAACTTTAGTGAAGTATTCCATTATCCATGCTCATTAGGGTACAAACGCTTTGCTGTGCAGATGCTAGAGCATTTCACGGTAATCAATTGGCCGGATGGAATACTCGTGGCCGCTGAATACGGAAGAGTTGGCGCTGTTGATGTCTTGCTGTCATGGGGAGCTGATGTGGAAGCTCGCAACAGATGCGGCGAATCAGCAATAAACCTTGCTGTCAACCAAATGAAGATGCAAGGTGATGACATAACTGATAAAAAGTTTAGTTCTGGTCCTTATTTGGGATCGGGTGAGGATACGCCAGACTACATGCGTACATTGGCCGCCTTGATCAATGCTGGGCATGCGTTAGATAACTTCTCTTCCATCAATATGTCTTACTTGGTCCGATGCGCTCTCAGGACAGGACGACTAGACATTCTGACGGCGCTAGAGAGCTCTGTTTTTTCAATATTCAAAGAGCCAGGTACATATTCTGAAACACTCGTGTTGGTCACGTCTAGGCGCCGAGCAGAAATGCTTCGTTATCTCTTGCCAATACGAGCCACAATCCGACCTGAAGCGCTTTTTGTTCAGCCGCTTGAAAATAAGGCCGAAGAACAGTTGACTTTCAGGGGACCATCTAAACGCAAGTTCAAAGCGTTGGATCAGATCGTTGATTACACCGATGTCCTTCTGGAACTCTCACAGCACGACACGCAAGTGGCTCACCTGAACAAGGAGCCATTCAGGGAAGCAATGCAGAATAAACATGTGGAATGCGTCCAAGTATTTATCGACTTGTTTACCAATGACGATAGACACCGTGCAGATTGCTGCACTCCCCTACTTTCGCTGACCTTGTCCCATGTTGAATTGCTTACATATTTTCTCAGCCAGGGTGCTGACCAAGATACACGGCATTTTGAAACTGGTGAGATTTTGTTGCACTGCGCTGCAGCCAGAGGGGATGAGAGTGCACTCAGGGCTATTTTATCTTCTGGCTCACAGGTTTCCCTGTAATCAGGCGAACAAGGAACAGCCTTGCACGCTGCTGTGGTGCAGGGCTTTCATGACGTAGCCGAAATTCTTCTTGAATCACATGCAGACGTCAACACACCATGCACCCTTCTTGGGACACCGTTGGCTGCAATCATGACACAGAGCTGGAAGGACTTTCGTGATATCTGCCACCGAAGATGTGCCAAGCTATTGCTGGAGTGGGGTGCAGATATTGATAGCTTTGATGAACGGCTGGGGACTCAGTGGACATAGCATACAAGGTAGGAAACCGTGAGGGGGCGGAGCTGTTGCTTGAGAGGGGAGCACTGGAGCCTGAAAATTATGATGTATCCCATTCGCAGGCTCGATTGGGAACTGGTCATCAAGGTGTCTGGAATGGTTCATATATGGCATCGGAGTTTCTACTCGTACCTAGCGACTTGGAAGAGATGGTCGAACTGGTACCATCTGGTATTGCACGTCTCCTGTGAATAATATAGATCATACTCTTTCTGTGACATACTTGGTCTTTTTCGAGCTTTAGAAACCAACGATTACTTCGATCAGATGAAAATAAGTTTCGGATTGTTATCCAATTGTCCATCCGTTAGAAGTACTGGTAAGAAGTAACATGATATCAGTACTCAGTCATGGTGGCTCCGTTAAGTATGTAATGAATCGGGCGCTACACTCCCCTCAGTTGAAACTATATACTTATATACCAAGTGCAGACTCCCATATGTGTTGTTCGCAGTATTCCTTGATACCCACCAACGGAACACAGTTACAATCGGAGCAACTATGCATCCCAAACAATTATTAGATCTATGCTATGAATTAATTTAGAATGTAGTATAAGCTGCCCACTGCACACCCTTCTTAGTCAGCATCCACAGGATGATGTCATGTGCTTTCGCGTCCCGCCCAGTCCCAATTGGGATATATCACGCGTCTGCCTACTCTGAGTGCATCTTTCTGCCTTGAGCTCGTCCCTTTTTATGTCGAGCCAGCTGCGGCATCGAATGGATCTGATTTCATCGATCTCTCAGTCATCTTTACTGAAAATGGCCGATAAAGAGGCAACTGTCTATATCGTGGACTGTGGCAAGTCCATGGGAGAGCGCCGTCGTGGTCGCGAAGTGACGGATCTCGACTGGGCGATGCAGTATGTTTGGGATCGCATCACAGGGACGGTGAGTTTTTTTTTTTTTTTTTTTTTTTTTTTTTTTTTTTTTTTTTTTGTTTCAAACAAA